CCCCAAAACCCCAAAACCCCACTATTCTAAATCTCAGGCAAACCTTGGAATTGGTATATTAAGGTTTTTGATAAAATTAAGTAAACTCAATAAAGCTATAAGCAATTAATTTATTTGCAAACCTAGGTAGATTTATTTTGCCCAGATTTCTGTCTCAAAATATCAAAGTGTTTGAATGATTCTCCAGAGGGACTGAATTACCAATCAATATTGAGCTTAAGGCATGTGAAATGATGATAGAAATGTAGATTATAGTAATAGCTATGAATTTTTCTAGTCTATTGTTTAGAATTGCTGAGATGCAAATGAAATTAGAATATATGTTGTACCAATCGAGGACAGTGAAAAAAACTGGATTATAGTTCCAAATAATTTCCATGAATATACCAAGGTAGCCAACATGTGAAAGCAAAATCACGTAAAATACTCTGATAAATAGCTAAAACTTTTGCTAATTAGTCTCTATAATTATAATAAATTCAGTTTAAATCAATCTTACTTTGTTAGTTTCTTCTCATGAACTGAACTCTCTTGAATGCATAAGTCATTAGAACAAGAGAGGACAAGTAACTAAAGTTATTTAGTAAAACCTTGAATATGATGCTTGGATTAAAAGTATAGACCAGCTAGATATTTTTCCTTCCTACCTAAGGACTAAAATAATCGACTTGAAAATCTTCTTGATTAAGATAATGGTTTCTAACTTCATGCCAGTACAACATTACAAAAAGGATGACGCTAAAGAATATACAGAATATCTTTAGTAATTGGTTTCCATTTTCAAATTCCTCTTTTTATTATTGCTTTAATTAGTCCTCCTTAGCATTTTATTGACTAGATTTGTTTTCCTCTTTCAAGGCGCTTATTCTGAGATCGTGGTTGAAAAATATATGACGATAGATGTTAGAGAAGCAAAGTATTATACTGAGAATCTTCAAGTTTCTTTCATACTCAAGGTATTTGTCAGCTGTGTATTTGCATTCAGTCTAGAAATTATATATAAACTAATGAACGATCTTTACACAGTTTTCAAGACAGTAATTGTCGAACTATAGCTTCCTAATAAGCCTTTTTACACGTGTGCCACATTCAACGCAGACATTTAAAGCCATTTTGTAAATTCTATTATTTTCGATAATTTGTAGTAATTTAAACTTTAATACATATATAGGTCCGCGGGGTTTTGGGGTTTTGGGGTTTTGGGGTTTTGGGGTTTTGGGGTTTTGGGG